ACTATACTAGTGCACAAGATCCTAATGGGATAATTAATAGTGTAAAATAGGAAGAAAAGGGCTAAAGGTGTAGGGAAAGTGGGAAGGGAAGGGGAAAAGGAATAAGGGAAATGAGAAAATGAAAAAATGGAAATAAAATGTTTGTGAATGAGGAGAGGAGGAGGGGTGAAGGGAGGGCAGGGACAAGGGGAAAAAATGAGAACCAAGACCTGTCATGTGAAGGTACAGGATCCCAGTAATGAATGTAACTGTACTGTATACCTAGAACGCACCAATAAAAAGAAAAAAAAAAAGAAACAGACTCTATTGCAAAGTATTTTGGACCAAAGATTATGGATGCCACCATCTAGTTTAACTCTTCCACTAGTTGCCTGTGTACCTTGAATATGTCACTTCCTTCGAGCTGAGCAGCCATTTTCCTGTTTATAAGAATACCGCAGCTCAAGAAAAATCTTCTAGCTTTAAAGAGCATCACCTTCAACTTTTAGCATGAAACCTCTGATATCTACCCTCCTTCCAAGTCTACATTCCTAAACCTCCTCCCTGTGGTTTAGTCCAATAACTTTACGGTCTTTCTTCTTAACCTCAGCCTTATCTTTGCCACCTGCATGCATATGTACTCTTAAACACGTGTGTGCATGACAGTACACACACACTGCAGGCTCACACATGGAAGATCACCACCTTTCCTTATTTACCATGCCCTTGATCTACAACTTGGGATGGAATTGAAATCATCAGACTATATGGCATATCTATCTAACCAGACACCTCTGCTTTCCTGTCAGCTATGCAATGCTGTCCAAAACATCATGACCTTCAGGTCCTCAGTCTCCAAGAGATGCAATCTTTTCACTCTTTATCAGATATATACCAGCTGCCCAGAAATGTATTGGGGGGAATCTCTGGTACACGCTGAGGATAATGCCTAGCAAAGAACAAATCTGTTAAAAGAACTGATTTTCTTCTCCCTAAATGATATCACATGTAATAGTAATAATTTTTAAAGCCATAAAAATGAACACGTCAATTTAAAAGAGGCAAAGGGAGATAAGAGTATTCACCTAGAATATGAGTTTTACAGGGCCTTGGTTTGCATACATACCCTATGTCATTATGGCAGTTTTCCTTTGTCAGTAGAGAGGTGAACCACTACTCCCAAAGAATCTAATCATCTGGCCGTCATATGGACCCCAGGACACAGAGGTGCACCTTTTTGGTTTGAAGTCAATATAAATGTTCAAGGGATTGAGACCGAAGTATTTGTGTATATAAGAATAGGGAGAAGATTGCGAACTAATTCCCCTTTACCTCCCTTCTAAGAGATCTGACTTTCCCCATCAAGATCAGAATATTTTAAAAAGCTAAGAACATGTTTTAAAACAGATTTCATGATGTGCTGAAATCCAAAAATATGAATATGCTTTTCAGGTGAAAAATATTCCATAGAGCCTCTAGTGAACATGGGTATGTGTATTACTTCTTGCCTTTGATTCCGAGAGGGGAGGATACATACCACTGCTAACCTACTGTGGTCAATCGGCCATGGCAAAGTTTCCTTCATGAGCAAACTGTTACAGCCAGAGGTACTGACCCTGGGTACACTGAGCAGCTACCTTATGGAAAGTAGATTTTCTTTCTTCTCCATCTCTTGCACATCCCCACATAGAGGTGACATAAGCCCTCTGCTCTGGGTCTCAATTTACTAATTTGCTCTTAATTTTCCTGAAGTTGTTGTTTACATATCAGTCATACCGTGCATTAAAAATAATAATGCTAAAAGGTATATAATAAAGAATACCCACTCCATGAATTACACCCCTCTTCCTCACCAGCATCCTGTCTCCCAGAAACAACTACTTTTAATAGAATTAGCTATTCTTCTAAAAACTTTTAAATATTGTGCTTCGATTATTATCTCCAATTTCAGTTTTTACCACTATACATTGATTTTTCATTATGGTAGAAGAGATTTTAGCTCTTTCACATTGCTATTTCTTGTTCTTCTACTAACCCTTACCATACCCCGCTAATATAAGACTTTTCCGGTTTACATCATCATTTAAAATACACATCATTGTGACTACTGAATACTGCTCACTAGAGTGAGGAAGCATGTTTATATTTCTTCCATCATAGAACCTTTTGCTTTCCCTGGTGTTTACTTAGTTTGCTACATACCTATGGCCAGCAATTCTGACATTCTGTCAAAACTCCTCAGTATTATGTTTTGTATCTTCAAATTTACAAGGTAAACTCAAAAATCACATCTTTTCTTTGACCTTGCTTCTCGCTCCAGACTGGCCTACTACTCTCCAGCCTTCCCAGAGCAGATATGTTTGGATTCTTCTCTCTGGTCATCCTGGAAATTGCCTTACCACTTTCGTGTATTGCATTTCCTGTTTCCTGTACGTCCCATCTTCTAGTACCTTCTAAGAAGCATCAGATGTAGATCCCTTGAAATTTTGCATATGTGAAAACTTTTGTTTTTGTTGTACCCTCAGACTTGCTTATGACTTGCTTATGTATTCTGTGGGAATCCAGTTCTGTGCTGGAAATCATTTTCTTTCTTTCCAACCTTTGAAGGATTGGCTCTATTATCTTCTGGGTTGATTTCAATGTTGCTGTTAAAGGATGCCATCTCAGCTCCTCATTCTTTGTGATTCATGCTTTGCCCTCTGGCTGGTTTGGGATTTCCTCTTCCTTCCTATTATGAGAATGTATCCTGATCCTGGCAGTGGTTTTTGGTATTTGGTGGACTTTTGCAATATGGAGATTTATGTTTCTTCTATTAGGGAAGGTTGCTCTTGCATTATGTATTTGAAAAGATCGTCTCATCTTTCTGGAAATTCTATTGTATTGAATCATTCCTCAACTTCTACACCAAATTCTCTAATTTATTTAAAAATTTTTAAAGAGAATGATGTAAACTTTAGTCATGATTGAAAAGTCAAAGAATTTATTTACCAAGATTCCTGGAGGCAGATAAAAACAACCTTTCAGATATGAGAATAGGAGTTACTCGCATTTGAAAAAACATACATAACCCCAGTTCCAGTTAGATTTCCTTTTGAAGCTCTGTAACCACAGATACTTCTTGGAAATTTTCAACAAAAACTCCAAAACGCACAAAATTTAAAGCAATATATACATCATATAAATATTGACTACTTTTTTATTAGTACACATTTATAGTACACGCATTTTACCACCATCTTGGGGAGTTGGTGATGTACATAATACAACTTATTTCTTTCCTTTAAATCCCCTTCCTTCTCCTTTACTCCCTCTTCCTCTAATTTCCCTTTCTCCCTTTTCATTCTTGTTTATATTATCTTTGCTCACACTTATAGCATAGAACATCTGCATTCATTGAGGTTTTTAGGGTCCCGTACACGGCATATCCTCACTCTACCTGTTTCCCCATCTCCAACCTCTTTCCCCTTGCCCTTGGTCCCCTGGACCCCTTTCCATTTACAAGAGATCCAACCCTTTTATCCTCCTATCCTTCCTTTATTTTTCTCTTAGTTTGTACTTTGACTTACTGAACTGAGAAATACCACATCGTATGCAAGCTGTCTGATTTATTTTACTCAACATTATATTTTACAGGTGCATCTAATTCACTCCAGATGTCTCAAATTTGTCCTTCTTTATAGCTGAGTAGTATTCCATTATAGATAGAGACCACATTTTCTTAATCTAGTCATCTTTTAGGTACAGAGGCTGCTTCGAGGATTCAGTTATTATGAATTGTGCTGCTATAAACTTTGGAATGCATATATTACTATAGAATGATACTTTAAGCTCTTTGGAGAAGATACCTAGTAGGAGGATACCTGAGTCATATGGGATTTCTAACTTTAGTTCTTTGAGGAATCTACGTGCTGATTTCCATAATGGTTCGACTATTTTACATCCCTACCAATAATGCAAGAATGTTTCTTTTTCTCCACAGTCACGCCAGCCTTTGTTATTGTTTGTTTTATTGATAACTACCATTCTTTCTGGAGTAAAATGGAATAGACGGAAACTTAGTATTGTTTTAAATTGCATCCGTCTAATGACCATAGATGTTCCACATTTTTTCATGTATTTGTTGGCCATCTGTACTACTACTGTGAAATGTCTGTTCATTTCACTTATGCATTTCTTGACTGGATCTTTAACTTTACATGGAATAGTTTTTTTAGTTCCTTATATATTCTAGATATTAGTCCTGTCTGAGGAGTAGCTGGTAAAAATTTTTCCCATTCTGTAGGTTGTCACTTCATGCTACTTACTGATTTTTTGCTGTGCAGAAATTTTACTCTGAAATAATCCCATTTGTTGATTCTTGCTGTTATTTCTTATGTAATTGAAGTTCCGTTTAGAAATCTTTTCCTATACCTATATCTCCAAGTGTTTTACCTATTTTATCTTCCTGTAGGTTTAGTGTTTCTGTTTTAATGTTTAGATCTTTGATCTATTTTTATTTTAATTTAGTACATAGTGAAAGATATGGGTATAGTTTCAGTCTTCTACAAACATCACTTGTCGACTATCAGACTGTCTTTCTTCCAATGTATGCTTTTGGCGCCTTTCAAAGATCAAATAGCTGAGTGTATGTAGGAATGTTTCTCTATCCTCCATTTGGTTCCACTGATCCATATATCTGTTTTTGTTGCAGTACCATGCTGTTTTGATCACTGTTGTTTTGCAGTATAGCTTAAAGTCAGATATGGCTATGTCTCCTGCTTTGCTCTTGCTGCCCAACGTAGCTTTTGTTATTCTGGGTTTCATCTGGGTCCATATGAGTTTTAGGATTGTTTTCTCATCTGTTAAGTATGCTGTTGATATTTTGATTGATACTGCATTGAATCTGTATAAAAGTTTTTGAAGTATGGCCATTCTGACAATATTTTTTTCTGCCTATCTAGGAGCAGGAACATCTTCCCCTTTTCTATGTCCTCTTCAATCTCCTTTTTCAGAGCACTGTAATTTTCTTTGTAGAATCTTTTCAAAATATGGAACACTTTACAAATTTGCACATCACCCTTGCACAAGAGCCATGCTACTCTTCTCTGTATCACTCCAATTTTAGTATATGTGCTACCAAAGTGAGCACTGAATATTTTTTTCTTATGAATATAATCTTTTCCTCCACTTTCTGGGAGAAATCCTTGACTTCATCCTACAAACCTACCTCTCGTATTAGGTTTTAATATTGCCTGCCATTAGTCAACTTGCTAAATTTCCTCCTTCTGATTCTTTTTTGAAGTACCATTTTTTTTTCATTTTATAAATGTGGTATCTTCCTGTTACTTCGTCTAATCTCTGAATCATCTGTTTCCTCACACTTCTTTATTTTCTACAGTCTTAGTATATGGTATTTCATGTTTTTAATTGATCTTTGACTATCCATTCATACTGAAAATCAAAGAGTAAAATCTCTTTTTGCTTGAGCTAGGCTTTACTTTATAATGATACCCTTTTGTTTTTGGTCCCTTCATCCATCATCATATGTTTATGTCTTTTCTTCTAGCCTGTTCCTCCAAAGAAGATCTCTCTGACTCTCTAGGGAGAAGGATAAGAATCTGGTTTCTTGTACTCTAAAAACTTTGCATGTCTCTTTAGAGAAGAATAGTTCATTTATTGTCAGTTCATCCCAGCAAAGCAGTAATTTCTACTTAGTATATTTCATTAAATCAATTATCTATCCTCCATCTGTCATCTTCCAAAAATTATTATGTATCATCCATTTCTGCCATGGTTTCTGCTTTTTGTCCTCATGTCTTTATATTTTTTATTGCTTTATTTTCATTACAGTGAGATTTTGGGAAAGTATATGTTTAAACTGCCATCTTGATATGGACAACACCATTTTTATTACATGAAAATTTTAAATACCTACTATGGTCCTGGTTCTGTGCTAGGTAGGGCTATACAGGGGTAACAAGGGAGAGCTTAAAGTCAAGGAGAAAATACAGATATTGTACATTTAAAGCATATAAAATTATAAAAGGAAAAGAGATACATAAATGAAAGTGGTGGGCAGAGAAAACCAATGGTCAGGCAAAGAAGACCTTCTGGTGAAACACATTTAAGCTAAAAGTTGAAGGATGAACAGGTGTTGGCCAGGTTACAGGTCTGAGCAGTACATGGGAAGATTGGGGAGAGATCAAGGAAATAGAAGAAGGCAGGGTAACTGAATCACAGGTCAAAATAAGGAGGAGAATAAAGCAGAGGAAAGTTGAAGAGGTGGGCAGCAACCATATCATGGATGGGCTTCTAAGACATCTGTACATTATACTAGGCACAGTGAAAAAAATGGAAATATTTTAACCCAAATTATCTTGTAAAATATAATTTCTGTTGTATCATGTAGAATTTATTTGCAAGGAATAAAAGCAGAGCCAAGAACACTTAGAAAAGGGAAGGATTTGCCTAGAATAAGAAGGAAAAAAATGAAGAGAAGTACATAGATCTGAGAAGAATAAGTCAGAATTGGTAATACAATATGGAATGTGAAAGAAAGAAAAGAAACTAAATCTAATTCTTAGGTGACTGGCCTGAGTAGCTAGATACATGGTGGAACTCTTACTAAAACCAGGAAGGAGGAGCTATATGATGGGAGAAGATGAGAAATTTCATCTGGGGACTGGGAAATGATAAAAATTTCATTGATCACTTACCATTCAAACATTTACCGCCCTATCTGTCCAGTTTAGAGTTTATAATCCAACTTTAAAGTCACTCCCTTTGTACATGTACTCTGCTCTCTTGCTCCCTCTCCCTTTTTTGTATATATTTGAAAATCCCCCGGTCTTTCATTAGAATCATACATCTGCCTATTCTGCACCTACATCAACTCGTTTGAGCACTTTAGAGAAAAACTCATAACCAAATTGGCTCACTTCAAATTCATGGTATAAATTCAAGACGGGCTTTTAACACTGAGTGGTAACCTTCTCATCCATCGCTAGTCCACTCAATGTCCCATGCCTTGACCTCCCCAAACCTCCAGCAAATCCTCTGTACCCTCTTTCATCTAGAACTTTGCTTCCCATTTCACTGAACAAATGAAAGTCATTTACATGCTCCCATGGCCTGCATCTGTACCATCCAGGCACAGACATTTGCTAATCACCTTCTCTGTGCTAGGCACCGGGGATAGCAGTTATCCGAACTGCACAACCTCTTCTCTCACAGAGCTTACCTTCTCGTGCTCACCTGCCCTCCTTCCCATGCTCTTATCCAAGAGAAATTCCCCCACTGACACAGCAATTCTTAGCCTTTCTCATCTACTCAAAGACACTGCACCTGCACATTTCTCCTTCAGTCCACATTAACTTTTCCCTGATTCCTTCATCAGCGCCAACATCCACAGTGCTGTGGTACCTCTCATTAAAAAATATAAGAAAACCTCACTCGACACAACATAGTTCTCCAGCCAGTTTCTAAAGTTTCTGCTCCCATTTTCAACAAGAGCTTTCAGAGAGTTGTTCATCATTAATTTGTTTCTTTCCGCTTTCTCTGAAACCCACTCCAATCAAGTGTCTGTACCATCATGGTCACCAGTGATTGCTCCATTGATAAATGCAATGGCCGGTTTCTTAGTCTCCATCTTACTTGATTTGTCAGCAGCATTTAAAACAGTTGATCATACCCTTTCACTTAGCCTTGGACAGTAACATTCCCTCCTGTTTCTTCTACTCTGTCCCTGGCTCCTATCTCTCCTCTGCCTTTGTTTGTCTTCTCTCCACACTCTATTTCTTGAAGATTTCCATGCTCAGTCTTCAGACTTCTTTCCTCTCTACACGAACTCCCTTAGTAATTTCAGCCAGCTGCATGCTTTTCTAGGGATACATAACCTGATTTATCCCAAAATTATATTCTCAGTTTTAACCTCTTGCATTGATTCCATATTTTTATATCAAGCTCCCTACTTGGCATCTTGAACATCTAGTCATTATTTCCAACAACATGCTCAAAACAAGTATGTGTTATCTACCCGTATTCTGAATGCTAGTGCTTCTATGATAGCTTAGCAAACAAGTTCATTCTTTTAGCTGCTCAGGTCCAAAAGCTTCACATCCTCCTAGACATTTATTTTCTCTGGCTTACCACATACAAGCCATGGGTAAATGCTGTTGACTCAACATTCTATGTATATCCAGAATCCAGTCATTTATTCCTATCTTCACTACTATCACCCATGTCCAAGATACCATCAACTTACTCCTAGAAAGACCATCTAAACTGCTTCCTTTCTTTTCTCCCTACCACTTATCTTCTAAACAACATTCAAAGAAATACCCTAAAAATATAAATCATTTCTCATCTCTGATCAAAACTTTCCAATAGATTCCCATGTTGCTCAGAGCAAACGCTAGTCTTCATAACTGTCCCCAAGACTTTACAGTCTCCATTCCCCACTCTGACCTTATCTTCAACAATTACCTTTCCCTTTTTATTCTACACGAGCAATATAGACCTGCTTGCTGATCCTCAAACATTCTAAGTGGACTCTACTGAGGCAATTAGACCCTTCTGTTCATTCTGCCTGGAATGTTTCTTTCCAAGGTTTCCATGTACCAACTGCTCAAATATTCCCTTATCAGTGGGAACTTCTCTTATTACAAACCTGTACATCCTTCCCTTACTGAAATATCTTACCCCCTTACATTTTCCTTTTACTCCATAGAATATATTGGCATCCAATATGTAATACTGTAATATTTCCAGATACCATGACATTAGGACTAGTAAGTAAGGCAGTCAATACACATTAGATAAGTAAGTGAATACACAATAAAAGGGATGAATAGAGTCACAGAGTAAGATCTCAAGTAGTAGTAAGAAGACCTTAATTTGGGGAACTTGAGTTGAACAACTGTTCTTAGAATAAAAGACTAAGTTGTCTCTCAAGCCTGAGACAAAGCTAAAACTTAAAGTAGAGAAGAAGGTGGACAGGCAAAGTTCACCACCGAGAGAGGCCTGTCTTAGTCACTTTCTTGATCTCCGAAATACCCAATAACCCACAACTTAAAGAAGGAGAGGTTTATTTTGGCTGCTGTTTTCAGTCCATGGTCATCTGGCTCCATGACAGAAATAGTGTGATGGATGGGCCTGGGCAGGGGAAAGCTGCTCTTCTCATGACAACGGAAAGCAGGGTAGGAAGAGAAGAGCTGGGGGAGGGGGAGAGATTTCCTTCCAGGTCACACCCCCGTGAGAAGCCTCTAACCAGTTCCCACCTCCTAACAGAAAGTCAGCTGTAGTGACCCACAACGTAGTCATCTTCTAAAAGCCCAACCTATAAGCACATGAGGGTTTCAGGGGCATTTTAGACCTAAATCGTAACAAGGCATTGGGCCACAGAATCCAAAAAGGCAATGAGAACAGCAGTGGAAGTAAAAAGCTTCCACAAGTTCTAAAAGGAAGAAAGGGACTTGCACAAATACGGCAATAGCACTTACATCATCATCTCCTCTACCTGTTACAGCTTCCAGAGAGAGCTCCAAAATCGCAGGGCTAAGGAGATTGACACAATTTGAAATATCAAATGGGGAGTTCACTGGCTGGCTCCAGGTCCCCCAAAAACAAATTTAAAAAGGGCAGTAAGTTCCAAAGCAATTTCACAAAGATGGCTCACAGAGATAATGAGGATAAAAACCACACACCTTACATGGCTAGAAAAACAGCGATGCATCCTGAGAGACTAGAAGGAACCCGAGATCTCCAAGAGCCCAGTGCCACATGGTCCCTTTCCTGATCACTCTCTTCAATAAATCTTTTCATCTCTTGTCAAGATGTGTAGAGGGAGTCATAAAAAATCAGCTCCAATAGATTCTCACATCAGCTCAACACTATCTAGTGAACAAGCGCACATCACAGCCCGTAGCTCCCTAGCATTTCACTTGAAGGTTTTACTGGGTGTGCTTGCAGGATAAGCCAAATGAATCCCTTTGAATGCACTAGGGCCACAGAAAGGAGTTCCCTGGAGTTTGCTCATTCAAAGCAGCAGTCCTGTGTCACTTAGTTTGTTAAATGTCCAAGAGCATGGAAATTTCAAGCCTCTTTCTACATTTATAAGGTGCTGCTGTTGTTCCTTTGACTTTTCAGGGG